TCAGGGTCGGGGTGGTGGGTGGGCTAGGCTGGCAATGGAGAGGACAGGGCTTCCCACACTGAATGGCGCAGGTGCCGTGGCCATCCTGGCTCACAGCTGTGACAGATGCAGGCAGCTGCTGACAGAGACCGTGGGCCCTGGACCCCATTGCAACTGTGTGCTGAGTGATATGATCCCCGCGTTGCTGGGGAGGGGTTAACAGCAGGTTTGCTGGCATGTTTCATGTTTCTGTTTAGAGAACAGAAGCTTTCAGGCCCTGCTGTTCAGAGTCACAATGGCAGTGCCAGCACTTATCCGGCACCTGCTGTAGCCCAGTACATAGTGACTCAGTTAATCCTGACAGCCTCCCAGTGAGGAGGGATGTGCCGGCATCATCCCATTCCACAGATAAGAAGCAGGCACAGAGAGGCTGAGGAACTGCCTCAGGCCACACAGCTGGTGAGAGGTGGGGCTGAGGTGGGAACCCCGGTGGACTCTGAGCCAGCAGGCTGTCCGGCCACTCCTGAAACGAGGCCTTCAAGAAGGCAGAGCTGTACTGGTGGGAGAAGGGGTGGAACCCTGAGCTCAGCGCTCTGGAGGAACTCTGTGCAGAGGATTATGGAGGAAATGGTACGAAAGTGGTGGCTGAGAAAGTAGAAAAATCTGCCTGGGGGTTGGACTGGCGTCCCCACCAGGAGTGGGGCCCCTGGAGCTGAGTAATCTTGGACAAATCTACTGAATGTCTTTGAGCCTCAGTTTCCACGTCTGCAAAATGAAGGTCATTACACCCATTGAGCAGGTTGTAGTAAGGATGAAAAAACAGTGCCAGGTACCAGGATATAATAAATTCAGCTAGGCCCGTGTTCTGGGGAGCAGGCAACAGAGAGAGCTTTAAATCTGACAGCGCATCAAGTGTAAGGCTTTAATGGTCTGCATAGTCCATAAATTGTCATTCTTAGTGACAGCCCTGTTGCCACTTGTCATCACAACTGTGGAGCCCCTCACATGGGAGGCTCCAGCTTCATGGCAGTGTCCTCCTGGAGGTTGGCAAGGTGGTGTTTTCCTTCCTTTTTAATTAAAAAGTACTTCGCAATTAATATCGGAAGTCAGGCAGCAGGGAACAGCAGAAGGCAGACGTGACAGGCCCTAATCTTCCCCACTCTTTTCCCAGCGGAGTTTAGAAGGGGCTTGAAGTGATCCTGCCAGATAATTTTTGGTGTGAGTATGCACTGTGCGCCCAAGTGTGTGCAGGTGTGGGTTTTTAAAACACAACCAGGATCCGTTGGGACAAAGGTACGTTTATCTGCAACTTGCTGTTGCTGTCAGCAGTTCAGAATTCTTTCCATAGCGGTACCGGCACATTAACGCGGCTGTGTTCTTAGAAACCCCCCCGAGCAGCAGGCAGTGGTGGCTCCGAAAACTCGTCCCTCTGCATCTCACGGGGAATTTCTGTCGTGAAGACGAAAGCCAGGAATGTGTGGAACCCTCGCTATTTCTCGGGTCCCTGGAGGAAGTTTCCTGCCCGCTGGCCCTGTGCCCCAGAGCCGGCAGTTAAGCAAGTGAAGCAGAGAACAGAACTCAAAGGCCACCTCCGCTAAGCAGGCCCTGCTTATTCCCGAAGTCTTCTTGCCTGTTGACCCTGCGTCAATTGGAAACCTTTGCTTCTTAATGGCCTGGGGCGCTGGGGGCAGCCGGGCCAGGCGCGCAGCCGCCCGGGTGCGAGGGCACCTCATTCAGCGAGGGAGTTACTGATTAAGCCGTGTGGACCCTGCTTCGGGTCTTGGCTGCCCAAGTGGTGGGGCTGCAAGCGTCCCCGAGGGGAGGGGGCGGCCAGCAGTACAGCCAGTGCACTTCACGCATCATTAGGCCCAGGGCGGGGGGGGGCGACTCGCAGGATTTGGGGCAATAACCCAGAGCAGGCAATAAAACGTGGGTGGCAGTTTTTGATTTGGAAGGGGATTGGCTGGTGTGTGTGTGCGTGTATCTTTTTCACGCTCTCTGAACGTATATTGCGAAATGCAGCGCATCCGGGCAGAGAGCACACAGGCTCGCCTGGACAGTGTAAAGAGGAACGGAAGTGCTCAGTGTCTGCATCTCAGGGGTGGAGCCCCTTTGTGGGCCAGTTTCATGTCCCGTCCATGCCGCCCACTGATCTGAGGATTGTGTTGTATTGATGTTGTTTATGTTGCCTGTGTTAAGTCTTCCTGTAAGTGGAACACGAGTGTGTCCTTCTGTGACAGGCTTTGCAGGTCAGGCGTGTTGGGGTGCATTGGAGGCCGGGCCCCGCTGGTCTGGAGGGGGAGGGCCGTCAACTGGTTCATGCTGCCTCTCCCAGGGCTGTCCAGAGTTTTCTCTTGGACAGGCAGTGCCGCTCTCAGCATCCTCAGGCGTGCGTGCGTGCGTGTAGTTTATCTGGGGCGCTGGCCTGCGGAGTATGCATGTTCCTAAGTGGAGGCCCCCTGGACAGTTTTATGAAGCAGTGATACAGATGAACACCTGTCCTGATGGCCTCCCTCCTGGTTGTATATACCTGGTTGGATGTATTTTATCATCCAAACAGCCCCACTGTACAGATAGGGCCTGGACAGGAAGTGACTTATCTAAGGTCGGGGGCAGTTCATGGAAACGTGGTAGCTTGATTCCGGCCGCGTCTGTAGACACGGGGAGTGTGCTCTGCTCACAGTTGGTGCTCCCAGGACTCTGACACACAGAGCGCACGAGTCACCGAGGATTCCTTCAAAGTGCTATAGTTTTTTCTCTGCTTTACATGGACACGCTCCTACAGGAAGAAGTCAAACGGGAGCAAGTACATCAAAGTTAAGTCTCTTGTTAAACGTTTCCATCTCAGCTCCCTTCCAGGCTTCTGTCTGTCCCTTATGTCCAGTTACTGTTACTTGAGATTGTAACTGTTTTGTTCATTTACTGTGTATCCTGTTTTTGCCGTGAAAGGGGAACACAACCATCTTCCTGCGATTGTGTGAACATGTGACTGGCGTTTCTGGTGGCGGCGACTGGCTGAGCCCCGTGTCACTGAAGCTTCTCGTGCCCGGAACTCAGTGGCGAGGGGAACGGTCTCTCTTGTCTTTCAGATGGTGCAGAACTTCCAAGATGAATCCTGTTTCATCCTCAGTACCTTGAAAGGTGACCCCCTCCTTTTCTTGTTTAATGAAGGTCTGTTGGCTGTGTCCCCTGGGCTGACAGAGTCGGGGGAGAGGCAGACCAGGAAGCGGGCCCCTGGAGAATGTTACCTGCAAACATTCTCTGGGAAAAAGAAACCCAAGCCTCCTGTAAAACCTAACCTTGAACATGGGAGAACTGGTGAGCCTGGCCCCAAGGTCGCTTGGAAAGGGAAGTCCTGGCCAGGCCATGAGCTCTCCGTGAACCCAGGGTGGGGAAGTTGGATGCATTTGAGTTTTTCTAAGTGTGGGTGTCCAGGGAGAGCAAGGTGGAGTCCAGCATCTGAGCCTGCAGGTGGTGTGGGTTGGGGACTCGGGGTAGGGGGACCCGCGGCAGCGAGAGGGCCTCCTGAGGAAGGGGTCTGAGCTGAGAAGAGTTCATGTGCCAGGAGACAGGAAGGGCCAGCTGCGAGCTGCTGTGGGGCTGGGCCGGGGAGTGTGGGCAGTGCATCCAAATGAAAGTCCTCTGCCCCATTGGACCAGGTCCCTTAGTCCTGGGGCCTTGGGCTGTGGTGGAGAGGCTGGCTGTTGGAGAGACCCCACAAGGCATAGTGTGCGTTGAAACCTCTGCTTTCGTCAGCACGCTTTGCTCTGCGTCTTGTTGTGGCGTCTCTGCCGATGATCACGGCCGACTTCGGCTGGTACCCTGGTCCCGCGCCTCCCGAGATGCCCGGGTGCTGCAGTCCATGCCTTCCTGCTGGAGGAGAACCCCGTGTTTCTTCTTGCAGCCGAGAGCAATGACGGCTACCACGTCATCCTGAAATGTGGCCTCTGAGTCAAAGCAGCGCGAGCCGCCTCCACACCCAGCCCCATGGACCCCTGGACCCCCGATGTAGACGCCGCAGCTGTGAGCCGCGCCGGAGGGACCGCACCCAGCCTGTGCCCGCGAGGCCGAGTCTCTCTCCCTCCCTCCTCGCTCCGGCTTTGGGGCAGCTCCTCGTTCTTCCCGCCCCACCATCCTGAAGAGCAGACAGTGGGGGCGGCTTCTCTGATCCCCTCACTCCCTTGGCGGGAGGCTAGTTAGTCCACTGGGCGTCCGGTTCCTCCTGTGTCCTCCTTCCGGCCGCTCTCCTGCCCCCAGCTGCCGCCGTCCCCTCCGGTAACCAGCCCGCGACCAGGACAGCTGGGACGGGGTGCTTTGAGTCCGCCTCAGTGACCCTGGTGCTGTTCGTCTGTCCTGCTCCCGGGTGGGTGGAAGGTGGGTTAATTCTGTGCCTGCTTCTTCCACCTCTGAAGACCCGAGGTGGGCCCACGTCTCTGCACGGGTTGGGGGACACACCCCAGGGCCACACAGACCTAGTTCTAAGGCCTTTGGCGGTCGGAGTGGGTGCGTAGAAAGACGATTTTTAGGCACAGTCTCGTGAGTATGAAAGGGAGGAGAACCAAAGGCTTGCTCCTGAGCACTGTGGGTAGAATTTTATTTCCTAAGCAGTCATGGGTAAGGAGGGCTGGGAGCTGAGCCTTCGCTGTATGATCAGGTGACCTTGCCTTGTCCGATTCCAGGCCCTCTTGGATGGACTCACCAAGTGCCGTTTAGAGAGGACCTTGGTGGACCACCGCCAAACTTGCCAGGCTTCCTGGGGACGCTGTATTTTCTGCCTCTGTAGAGGGTGTGTTCGGAGCATTTGGCCTGCGTTGGCATCACCTTTCTTAGTGGCCTGACCTTGGGGAATATCGGTGACTGGCGGGATAGGAGTTAGTCTTTGCCTTGTCTTTCTTTCCTGGGACCCAGGGCTTCAGCTCTTTGCTAACTTAGGGTTTATC